GTGGAATGTACCACTCCGCCGCTGTGTCACGTGACGCGGGGCCAGCTGGTGCCGCTGTGGGAAAAGCTTGGGAGGGCTGAGGTGGGTGCTGCTGGCTCTGGGGGTGCAAACAGGTGTCCCCGCCCCGTGGGAGAAGCTTCTAAGCCTGTTAAGAGTTGTCTGAGGGCAGTTTGCTGCTGTCGTTAATCAAGTGAAATGAGTGCTGGATTTCGGCTTAAGCCATTTTTTAGGGCCTCCCTGTATGAGGGGCCTCTAAATAAGTGGGGAAAAGCTGAACGCTTTCTTTCTAATATGACAAAAATAGACATATATAGGGCTCCACTGTTATTATTTGTATTGAGTTCATCAATTGGTGCAGACATAACAATAACTCATCTTAAAACGTCATGGCAATTTTGCAAGCGCCTACTCTGGACTCTTTCAAAAAACACATGGATGTTTTTCTTGCTGGAGTCACTTGATCCCAACTGACTTCCCAGCTGCCGGGAGCTCCCGCTGAGCATTGCCCTCCTCCTCCATGCCACAACTTGCAGTCGTGCTGGGAACTTCTGGCCCCAGTATCTCTCTTTCCTCCAACAAACCAGGCCCCTCACTTCTGTGGCATTGCTCCTTGCAAGTAAACCCCAGGACTGGCAAGCCGCAAGGGCTTCGCTTACATGAGGGAAGCAAGAAGCAGCTCTCCGGGTTTACAAAATACTAAATGGCGAAGAGAAAATCACTAGGGATTTATTAGTGACTCGCTCGCCAGATGAGAATGAGGGGTCACACGATGAAATGAGTAGGTCATAAGTTTAAAAGTAACTGAGGATGTCCTTTTTCATTACAGGGTAGGAATTGTTGCCACCAGATGTGATGGGAGATGAGAGTTTTGCCAGATAAGGATTGGAGGGGTGTATCTAAGGACACAGGCAGACAAGGTTCTTTGGGTGAATCTGATATCTTTTATTAGACCAACTTAAATAGTTGGAAAAAAAATTTCTTAGCAAGCTTTCGTGTTTAAAAACCCTTCGTCAGGCTGAGGAAGTCTCTGCAGTAGGTGCGTGCTCTTCCTGGGTGAAGTGAATAGTAAAGAGGCCAGAGGCTGGTATGCATGCAAGACAGGCAGTCAGAGAAAATGTAAATTGAGGAGTCAGTGGGTGAGAGACAGGCTGGGTGGCGGATGAAGGTAGCAGGTAAATAGTGGTGAGGTACCTGTGGAGTCAGATGTCAGGCAGGTTATAATGTGTAATAAATCCAATGTTATATTTAGTCCATGATTTTTTCTATCGAGGAGGTTGATGAAGTGAAGTTTGTAGGTTCGTCTGTGAAAAGTGTTTTGTAAGTTCCCTTTGAGAATCAGAACTGAGAGATTGGAGAGAGAGTGGTTTTCTTGTGAAAAATATGCCTCCAGCGGTAAATGGGTATTTTTATCTTTGATGGATTTCTGGTATGCGGTCATTTTGGTGCGCAGTTGTTGTTTGCTTTCTCCTACGTATTTTTGATTGGGGCATATGGTGCATTGAATAAGATATCTGACATCTCTGGAGGTGTAGGTGTAAGATCCAGGAATGGTGATGGCGCTGTTGTGGGGTGTAGTAATTGTAGGGGTGGTGGAGAGGTGTTGGCAGGGTTTGCATTTCTTGTCCTGGCATGGTCCATTGGGTGTGGTTTGGGCTGTAGGAAGTTTGCTTCTGGTTATGAGGTTAGTGAGGTTTGGTGCTTTTTTAAAGGCTGGGATGGGTGGATCTGGGAAGATTCCTTTAAGAATTGGGTCTCCTTCTAGCATGGGCTGCAATTGTTTGAGGATTTTCTGTGTGGGTCCGAGGGAGGGGTGATATGTCATAGCCAGCAGTGTGCGACTCGTGGAGGGTTTTCTTCTGTACTGCAGCAGTTCTTCATGTGATATCCAGGTGGCTCTTTCAAACTTGCAATCTCTCTCTCTAGAGGAGTGTCCTTGTTGCGTGAAAGCCTTTTTAAGATTAGTGAGGTGGCAATCTCAGGTGTTCTCAGTGCAAATGCGGTGGTATCTGAGGGCTTGTCTGTATCTCACAGCTTTCTTGGTGTGTTTAGGGTGATTGCTGGTTCTGCACAGATACGTATGTTGGTCTGTGGGTTTCTTGTATAACGCAGTCTGCATTTTACCATTCTGGATACTGATCTTCATGTCTAAAAAGGAGATGTTGTTGCTGGAGTATTCAAGAGATAGTTGGATGGAGGGATGATGATTGTTGAATTTCTGATGGAACTCAATCAGAGATTGCAGGTTTTCAGTCCAAATGATGATGTCATCGATACATCTTAAGCATAGCAAGGGTTTGATGATGCAGTACTTGAGGAATTCTTCTCAAAGGGGATTAGACATATTCTTGGAGGAAAGAGGCATCAGTCGCTATTGAACGTGGGAGTGAGGGGCACAGCCTCTGAATCAGAACTTCCTAGACCCTAAATGCTGGAGGCTGCAAGTGAAAGAAGGGAACGGGGGGTGGGGGGAGCCCTGATCTGACCCCATTCAGTCTCTTGAAAGGGACACAACAGACCTATAGTCTGACCCAGTCAGTAGCAATTCTTATATTCTTATGTTCACAATGAAATGAGAGAGATTTGTCTTCACCGCAAGCTGACATGAAAAACTAGCGCACATCTTCTTGAGGGACAAGCGGATGAACTAAATCTCGCAAGACTCTTGACCCGCATCCATCTCCCTCTTCATTAATTCTGATACTTGCCATAATGTTCTTGAAAGTAATGTCTTTTAACCAGGTTTTACATCACATGGGGGGTTTTTTCCTCTAGATCTGATTGTGTTTGTTTATGTTAGGTCAGTTCCAGCTCTAATTGCAGAAAAATCTGAATCTCATCCATCTCAAAAAAAAACCATAAACACCTCCTCTAATCTGAGTGAATTACAATAAGAGTCCCTCATCTAGCAGTTCATAAATAAAATCAACTAAATAGTGATATGACAGCAAATGCTAATTTTAGATCATTTATTTATCCTCCTGAGGTTTCACAGCTGGTGGTTTGCATGTGCACGCACAGTAATTGGTGGCAAGTCTGCTCTGTATCAAGGCTCTCAGCCTGCTAGAAGATTATATATTCTTTTGTAGTTCCACAAATTGATCTGGAACAATGTATAACCATTGGCATTATTATAGCATTGCGTTTAAAAGAAAACTTAGTTGGGTTCACTGGGCTAACCTGTCAGGGAAATAAATACGGAAAACATAAGTGAAAATAAGTGTCTGCCTTGGGGGGGAAAAAAAGCGCAGTTTGCTCATTGTTCCTGGAGAAGTTTCTTGCTGTGTGTATGCTGTCAACTACAGCTGAAATGAAGGCTTTTGCCTAAATTGGGCATGTCTTAAGCTCCCGCAAGCAATACAGCCTTATTGCTAACAAATGATACCATGTATATAATTTTTTTTCACTCTGCAGTAATAATGTTTTGAGAAGTATAAAATGAACATTCCTGTAGAAAGATCTCCATTACTGGCCGACAGAAAGGCATAAGGCAGTGGGTGTGCTAAAGGCTTTAGAAACTAGTGTGCCTTCAATATGTTAGCCTGATGTGCCCCCTAGGTTTGGATGGAGGTTTTACCTTTCTTGACCTTTGCTAGCTGTTTTTGGAAGTAGAAAGCATTGCATACTCAGTGCCAGCAAGCCACCAAAATCTCAAGATTTGCCAGTCTCGATACAAAACAGATGTCCCTTTTTCAGCTCCCTGCAAAGTTTTGGACACATTCGTAGAGCATAAAGGGCTAGGTGGCAGTGTGAGCTAGCGTGTCAGTCTTTTTCCTGCCAAAGAGCAGGTTTCAGATCCAGATTTGGTCAAAGATTAAATGGATTCAGTATTCCCAGCAGGCAGACAAGTTTCTTTGGGTAAATCCAATACTTTATTAGACCAACTCAAATAGCTGGAAAAATTCTTCTTTGCAAGCTTTCGGGTACAAATCCCTGGTGTCAGGCTGAGGAAACATCTGCAGTTGGCCCGTGCTCTTCCTGGATGAAATACTAAAGAAGCCAGTCAGTGAAAATGTAAATTCCCAGCAGCTACTGCTTATTTACCCCAACATCCTTTACCAGTTGAGCCCCCACAAGGCTCAGTCCTTTACCCCAGGGGTTTCCAATATCTAGGCAAAGCTGTTTTGAGAGTTGTTGACACATGGAGCTGAAGCATCAACATTAAACATGTGGCACCCAATTTTACGTCTGCTTCACGTTACACAGTCCCATCTCCCAGTGCCTCCCAGCAGGTTAAAAGCAAAACCCACATCAGAGCAAGGCCTTGCTGGGAGCAGGGAAGCACTGCAAACAACTCCATGACAACTCCCCACCTTTTATACTGTGTGTTATACTGAGAGGTGTTTGAGGGATCTTCCAAAAAGCCTCCCTACAAGGCTTGTCCACAGTAGAAGAGGGTTGCAACAATTTTGTCCTGGATGGTACCCGACCTGCAGTTCATTCATGGTAGCACATTAACAGCTCCATGGTTCTTGTGAACATGAACACCCGTATCTGAGGCTCTCAGCACTGTGGCCAGCATAGATTTCTAGGGTCAGAAGAGACCTCAGTAGATCATCAAATCTGACCCCCTGCCCTAGGCAGGAAAGAGGGTCCTTGGTTCATTCACAGAGAAGCCCTAGTATACTTCGCTAGTCCCACAACAACTCTCTGGTGCTCTTCCCCCTCCATGAGCTCCTATTGTGTTGCGCCACTGATAATATTCTTCATGCTGATAATCATCCAGCACCATGATGAAGCAGTCAGAGAAATGGAGTCTAATGATAATTCTATAAATAAGGAAAGAAA